TTATCTGCTATTCACAACATGACCTCACTATTGCTCCTAATCAATGAAGGGGTGTTTTACTACTGGTTCTGTTTGAAACAGGACCTTAGTTTTCTGGGTGATTAGTGTAAGGTCTATTTTCTCCTACATCTCAGAGAAGGAGTCAACAATGATCTGGAGCTCATTTTTTGAGTGAGTGCACAGGTATACACAAGCCTCTGCATCATGAGGCTCAGTGACTGAGGTTAGAACGATTTTGGTTTTGGAATGAAGGCAGTGAAGGTTGAACAGTTTCCTGTGAGTTCCATTCATTATCTCCATGCCTGTGTGGATTTGAGATGAAGTTTTGCAATGAAGAAAATGAAGAAAAGTGTTGGAGCAACCTCATAGCCTGATTGACCTCAGTTTTTCCTGAGATAGACTTTGTGGTGGTTCCGGATCACAGCTTGTATGTCAGCATGGAGTCAGTTGAAGATGTGGTCAAATTTCCGAGGACAACAAAATTTGAGGAGGATACTCTGTAAGCTTTAGTAGTTAACAGAGTCAAATGCTTTCGTGAGGTTGAAAAAGACCACGTACAACTGTTGCTGGTATTCTTTACACTTTTCTTGAATTTGCCACACTATGAAGATCATGTCTGTGGTGCCTCTCAATGGTGAGAAACCCACTGTGATTCTGGAATGATTTCCTTAAATACCGAGGTAGTTGAAATGGATCTTCATAATGATCTTCCCTGGAGCAGACAGCACAGAGTAGTTATCAGATTGGGCTTGTCTCCCTTCTTCAATAGCCACAATCACAATGTCATTGAAAACCCTGACATTAATCTTGGGAGCCTCCTGTCAATGAGGGAAGACAAGAGATAAAATTCATTGTTGCCTCTGACATACTTGTTCAGCATTTACAAGATTGTGGTGAAGAGTATTTGAGGACCAAGATCTGAAATCTGAGATAATGTTTTGGTTTCAGTGAGTAGCAGTGATCTCCAGGCTCCTATAGGCCTTGGAAACTTGGATGACCTACAGCAGGTACATCAAAGCGTTGACAAGATCCTCTATATCCAGTGGCAGCAAAGCCAGTCAAAAAGCAACATCCTCTCCCAAGGCTATCCAGCATCGATGTTCATCCCTCAAAACCTGTTCCAGTGGGTAGGATATGTTGATTGTAATGCCTGACACCAGATTCTTGAATCAACTGCTCTATTTGGAGCTTAATTATGGCAATAATCTCACAGGAGGATGCAGAAATACATCAGGGATGTTCTCAACATCTCTCTGAAGAGGTCAAACATTTTTGGCCCACATGGGAGACCCTGACCTGTGACTGACCCAAATGTAGAAGGCTCATTCAGATGGTACCAAACTCATCAAGAGATTTCATCAGAAATATATAGAGGTGAGGTTGAGGTGTTGGAGGAAGCCTGCAAACCTCCAAACAACCCATCTACCTAATCTTTAAAGTAACATCTGGCAAGTTTATGCAGATCCTACAGATCTTGCACTGGACTTAACATCCATTTCCGAACCCATCGAACTAGAGAGGAAGCAAGTCATCCTTGATGCTGGGGGAGCTGTCTTAGAGGAGAAGATGCATTTCAATCTTTCCCATTCCCACAGGTTGGAGGATGCCTTGTGTTACCAACAGACACGGTGTGTTCCTTTTCCAGTCAATAAAGCAATGCTTTAGCCACAAAAGTGAGGAGGGCATCCTGATCAAACACCTATCCTTACACCTATATTGATTGCATTCTTCATGGAACTGCGAGAGGTTACCTTGTCCAAATTAGGAGCAGAGACCAGTTGGGAGGGTATCTTTCCCTGCCAACTTGTGTCGTGCCCTCCAGGAAGAAGATCAGGCTAGTGCTGAGAATGCATCCTCACACTGAGGAGCACCCCATAGCAAAGCAGCTGAAGGAGGCACTACAGATTACATCTGTAATAACAACGTGTAGAGCT